GTTTCCCCCCCCCCCCCCCCCCAAGGACAAAAAGGCCAGGCTGGTCTGCACTGTTTTTATTTGGAGGCAGCAGCCCCAAGGAAAAGGGGGGGCCGGGGTGTTACAATGATCAACAGTTGAAACCCCCCAGCCCTGGGGCTCCCTCGGACCCCAAAAACACATTCCTGTCTTCTGCCGGGGGCGGGGGGGTGGGAGGAGAGGAAGGCAGGGGCACCTCCAGCATAAGGCACTTGGGGGCAGATTACTGCCCTCCCCAGAAATCTGAGTTGGAACTGGAAAGGCGGGGAACTGGGAGCCCAGAGCTTGGGTTTGCTCCTAGCACAGGGGACATAAGTTAGAGCCAGTGGGTTGGGGGCGGAAACCAGCCCTGCCCTGCCCTTGCTGGGGGGGTTTCACAGGGGCCCTAGCTGCCCACTGCAGTGTGGAGGGAATCACTGGCCCTCAGGCGTGCGCTGTGGGACACAGCCAGCCAGCTCCAGTGCCTCAGGCCAGCCCTCGTACTTGTTGGAGCTCTTGCTGTTCTTCATGTGCTACAAAGTGGGGGGAGAACAAAACGGGGGTCAGCCCCCACAACTCAGACTGCACTCCCTTCTTCCCCCCACTCAGACCTACATAAGCCCCCACCTCCCATTTCCCAGCCTAGGGTGGCCCTCCCCAATCTTAGATCCCCCACTTCCAGCCCTAGAGCCCCCCTCCTTGGGATTTCCAGACTGCCCGCAGATCTGGACACCCTCCCAATCACTCCCCAACCTAAGGGACCTCAATACCCCAAGGAAAGAGGGAGGGACCCTGGAGGCTCTGACCTGCTCAAAGGGGCTCTTGTCCTGTACCCCCTTGGCACCCGCGAAGACCCAGCTGTCGCGGAAGGCAAGGTCAGCGGCTGCCCGGCTGCCCAGTGCTCCAAACAGCCCCCGCGCCTCCTCATTCATCCTGGAGGGGAAAGGGAGTCAGGGCCCCCAAAATTGGTAGCCCCTCCCAAGAGGTAGCCATGGCCCCCCGGGAGCCCCACAGACTGACCCCCATCTGCCCACCCACTTTTCTCGCTGCCCCTTAGAACTCAGGGGTAGGAGAT